ATTTATTTTTATTTATTATTTTATTTATTTACGTGTGATATTTATTTAATAAATTTTCTTTTAAATGTAACAAGGTTCAGGAGATACGTAGTTGTATAAAATGACTATTATCAATAATGTAGATAGTCAAAGAACGAACTTCCGCGCTTAGATTAAATAAGGTTCATGTAACCGTAACTTAGAAGATAGAGGTTAAGTGAGATCATTTTTAACCTGCTTATCGTTAAATTCAAAGCAACATAATATGTAAACATGATTGATAAATAACATTATGTTAGTAATCTACTCATATTTCTAAAGAAATAAAGTAAGCGTAGATAAATACTATATTAGTAAATAGTAATAACAAACATATAGTTTGTACAAACTTTAGGACGTAAAACTCGGTAACATCGCTAAGGTTATGGATTTAAATTATTTAACATAGCACATTTTCATGACATAGTCCACAATTTATCTTCTAATATGTTATGTTCACATTTTGTCCGATTCTAAACAATTAACAAATTTAAATGGAAAATATTATTTATGTCTATTTCTTTTTCATTTAACAATGGTTTTGAATAATTTCTGAAGATGGTTAAGTTAATTGTTATTGTTACTAACTACTCTTGAATACACATAGTACTAACTGCAAAAAGTTAATTAATCAGTAAGTTTAAATGTAATTATTTTAAAAGCAAAAAGAGTTCCTTTGCAGCGTGAGTTGCGATACCCAAGTATAGCACGGATTAAAAGGCCAAAGGCAACAGCTTTCTAAGATTTTGCTTTGAGAATCGCGATTAACTCTCTCTTTAAGATCTCTTAAAGCAAATTATAATTAAAACTTTTTATAAAGCAATGGGAAACACGAGCGTAATATATTGAATTAAAGCAGTGTAGGAGGTCTTTTAGTTTTACGAATTTATAGAAAATGTTCGTAATAGTACAGAGTTATGTGCCTCCGAGGAACTCCTAAAGCTATATGATAGCTAAATATTGTCGCGTCCATCTGTTGCACACTCTGTGTAGATAAACATATAATTTTTGTCTTGAAATGAAGAGATTATAGGCACATAAATAAGTAATGATATTGTATATGCATTGCTTCAAATTTAGAGGAAGACCGGTAGAAAGTATTGATGTATTTTGTGAAAGTAGATATGCGTAAGAAGTGAGTGACATATCAGCTGACATACATGTATAGCATTATACTCGTAGATAAGTTAATAATAGACAGGATATTAATTTCTTTCTTTGACAATATATCATTTATCAAGAGTAATTTCCTCGAGCAGATGTTTTGGATTTCATACAATATTAGCGACCGGCTGGTAGCTTTACGATAACAAATAACTGTTACTTATGTTTGTTACAAAGACAACTCTGTCCTAATATCATTGCCCACTCGGCCAATGATATTAATTAGAGATGTAATTGCTTTCCTGTCCTGGTGCGAGGACTTATCATATATCGCTGTCTCTATTTGATCAAAGAGAATGTAAGAGATGACGTATTAAAGCAGTGTCTTTGCAGTGGAGTTCTGGGGTTACAGCACTGACATAAATGGTCTGGTTATAAGTCGTAATATTTTGTGCCTATTTTATTTTCGCCATTTTGGCGGTAAAAGTAGCGGTTTGGTTTCGATTCGAACTAATAATATAGATACAATTAACTGTCACGTAACATCAATACGCGCGTTTAAATCGGAACGAAGCAAAAGCTGTGATTCAGTTGGTTACAATTACGTCAATCAGTTGTTTAATTATCTATTACTTATTTATTGAATCTATATTGTGTAACATATAGATCGCTCTGTACTCGAACCGGGGATCGCTAGTGTGGCAATATGTCGCAGTGTCCAAACCGCAGGCCGGACATGAAAAGGGCGGGAGGCCATTTTATTTCATTGTCTGATGACCAAATTCAAAGGTCGTAAATGTACATTCAAATCTTGTTATATTACACTTTTAGTTAAGTTAAATAGTATTTAACAATCCGAGATTAGTTTAGAAAATCGCTTGAATTATTCCTTTAGTAGTTTTACGAAATTAATTTAAAAATCTAAAATGCGGTATCTTGTATGAAAAATCATGCAAAGCAAATGTTCGTAGACATACAATTCAGATTCAGATAAAAGAACGTACAATCGAGTAGAAAAACAAATAGTTGAATGTTTAATAGAAAAGGGATATTGCTAGGCGGACTGTGGAGAACACAAGTTGAAACGTTGCTTCGGGTAATTAATTCTCCACAGCGGAGGTACAGTCGCGCACACTGCGGCCGCAACCAAACGAGTTCAAACGTTCACAAACAGCTATAACTTCAGTCGGTTTGTTTTTTTCGTTAATTTTCTTTTCTCCTGTGACCGGATACGAGTTATGAAATAAGGTTTCGTTTGAAACGTGAACAGTGAATTTAAAATAAAATTTTTGAATCGTTCAATTGGATTAGAAACTAAGTAAAAACTACAATTAAAAAGAATGTATGCAGCATATTTGAACGACTACTTATCTGAAGCTCGGTAGATTGCTATAGACTAAGACAAAGAACATTAGATAAATACTAGTACAAAAACATCACAACAATACAATTAATAAAATAGGAATATGCACGTGTTATAAAAGAAATAAAAACATATTTAAAGATCAAGATATAGTTTAAAACTAACTTTAAAAAATTGTTGTCTTTCCGCCTGTCTATCTCCGAAACGGTTGAACTAATTTTGACTTTGTCTTGGACTGGATTGTACTGTAAGGTAGCAAAAAAGAAGAGTGCCAATATTGTTTGATGACCATACACAAATAAATCAACAGATTTCATATTTCGAAATGCCTTTTTCTTTTTAAAAATCTGTTATCGAAATCGCATTTAAATAGCAAACAGTTCCGAAATATTTTCGTTGGGGAATTTATGAGCGGACTGTGAATAGTATTCTGAAACGAAAAGGCATTAGCGAACATTTTTATGCCACTCGGAATGTTCGAACATATCTATACAATTAGTAAAATTGTACTGTCTGTATGACATTATAATAAACATGATTTATATAACGAAAAAACATTTTTTTTTTAATTTTTGTCTATCAGTCCGCAAGTCCACGTTTGACATAACTTTGACGCACGCAGGAATAATAAAGCTATTTTTTTAATTCTGGTCAGACAAAGTCGCGGGCGATCGATTGTATAAAATAATATTGAATACAAATAGATTGTCACGCTGTAAGCACGTAGCTCGTTACCAGTCGTACAGAGTGCAGACTTCCGGCAAAGTTTCGCCCACGCCCACGTTCACGGCCACGCCCACGTATGCTTGCATTAGATCGTATTAATTAAAAGTTCCCACACTCCGACATGCAGCTACGAAATCAAATAATGTTACTTATTTATAAGTTTTGTTGTTTTTCCAACTTAATAATGATATACTTTTTTACTTTAAGATAAGTTTCTCTTGATGTGTATTCAATTTACGAAAATAAATTAAAAGTATGTAAAGGTTAAAAAAAACATTTAATTCTCAACTATTATAAATTAAATATAGTAATATTAATTGAACGGAGAAAATCTATGGTTTCAATAATTTTTTTAATAAATTGTATAATATAATTAAACATCCTATATACCACATCCTATATTTCACATCTCTTCCGCGATGTAAGTTAGACATGGTAGTATAGTGTCAGCGTCTCTCGCGATGTCGCCAGTTGTAGTTTGATAAATTTGCACTCAACTTACTGGAAAACTGTGCATTTGTCGGAATTAACAGCACGGAGTATTGTCAGCCAATATAGTATGTATCAAAATATTACAAGGCTTGTTATTATTTTCAATAATTTTTCTCGTTTCTTAGGTTTTGGAATCGAACCAACAATGAAAATAGATAATTGATCTGTTTACTTATAGATTCAATACAATATTGTTTAAAAATATCATTGTTTCTAAAATAAAGTGGGATTTAATTTTTATAACTTTTGTCTCGTAAATACTGCGCGCGCGCCTGTCAGCTGTTTATTCCTTTGTTTGTATTATCTGTGTATTGTTGTTGATCTGTAAAATGCTAAATGAATGAATCGACGAACGAACGAACGAATGATTGAATGAATGGATAAAATAATTAACCGTATTAATGACGTCTCTTTCTGTAACTACCAAAACGAAACTATATAATTACAATACATTTAATAATAACCAGATAAATTGTGAGGATCGTTTTTATGATATCGTCACACAGATTGGGTCGAGATTAAATTGGCCAAATCCCGATAAAAGGCGCGTCTGCTTTAATTTAGCGACAGACGGCCCTGATTAATGAATAATAAAATTCGATTATTATATTTATTACAATTATAATTGTATTGAAATGTTTTAAAGTAAATGACAATACAAATAATATTCGGTATTTTCATATGACTGCTCGTGTCAGACAGAAAGAAAAGATGAATGAAAAATACTCAGCTGAATTCAATTAAATTCCATATGATTGATAATGTCAAACACCAACGTGTTTGACTTTCCTGTATATTTTTTTTAAAGTGGGAAAGAGGAATGACGATATGATTTATATCGGGATTTTGGCCTCTGATGTAAACTTCTTACTTGTAACTATCAGCCATAAGCTCCGTCCGGCTCATGTCTAGCCTCCGAAACCAACCATAATTTGCGTAAAGCACTTAAGGGTTATTCCAGCAACATGTGTGTTTGACAACGTCATCAAGGCAGCTTCGACATAGTTCGGCGCTACATTCAGACACAAAGCACAAAGCGCTCTGAAGACAAAGACGTCTATTGTCTGAACCGAAATTGATTTACGATCCGAAGACTATCAATAATGAGTTAGTTAGCTAGACAGTAATTACAGTTTAAATTCTAATTATAATTATTTGCTTGAATAAACATCTGAAGGTTGATTTTAAGGGAAACATCAAGACACACTTTGACTTTTGCTGTTACATGGCGATTAGGTTGCGAAATATCTACTATGGATATCTTAATTTAGTGTTTGGGTTTTTATAATAATGAAATGAAAACAGTAAATATAAGACTGGTGCGGATATATTATTAATGCAGCAGTCCGTGCTTGATTCGTGTGGAAGTACCATGCGATGTCTTCCTGCCGCCCGTTACGTGGCCACCGCGGTGTTTGCGCAGAACCGTCACCTCGACTTCATCTTTTAGAGGCTTTTCTGGAACAAAAATTACAACAGATTCCTAATAACAAATAATAGAGATAAGATGTATTTAAGTATATTCATATATTAAATTTAAAACAGCTATCAAGAAATAAGCCTAAAATATGTTTACCCAATGTCTTGGTCTCATTTAAAGTCTGTCGTCGAATGGGCTTGTTGAGTTCCTGTTTGAATTTATTGGCCGCTCGGTTCCAAATCTGCTGGAAGTGTTTAATCACATTCGAGTTGGTCAACTGCTTGAGTACGCTTTGGACGTCTTCCATGTTCGCAGTTAGCAGAATATACGAGTAACTTCCATGGATAAATAATAAGGCAACTGATGGTAAAATAAATTAATGTCAATACAAACGGTTTGTGTTTTGTTAAAAAATTGAATAATTCGCAAACCTACCAGTACACAATACGATATTGCCCATCACAGTAATCGTAATATGAGCAAGTGGCGGTTGGAATAGGAAATAAAACTGCAAATCTTCATAATGTGATATCACAAAATTGGTGAACATAAAACGAATTGTAATTTAAGTGTTTAATTTTTACTCACAATTGATTACGAAGTTCGATATCTAATGGCAGACTGGTACTTAGTGGTTATTTCGTTTTTTTAAATCTCAGGATAAAACCGTTACGTATGGCTTGCTTAGACATTGTGTACACATATTATGTACGCGCTATAATATATACTACAAAAAACCATATAAATATTGTTTTATCAATGTTATTGCAAAATAAGGAATACGATAAAATGTCTCTGATGCTAAAAACATTTTTTTATACTGGTATTACTTTTTATCTTAACAGAAGTATAGCAACATAGCGCTATTAAATTGACAGCTGTCACTTTGTGTTTTTGCGAGATTTTGCCGATATTTTGCAAATCATTTTCATAAAATAAATTATAAATATTTCGAGTCACAATGGAGGATAATCTCCAGCACGAGGATTTGCTTATAAAACTACGGGGCAAGCTCAACGAGGAGAAGATTAAGCTGTGGGAACCGCCGTATTTGGGCGCCGACGATTTGTTCACACAGAGTTTTCAGGTTCATTGTTTACTTTTTTTGTGCATTAGTCTAATCTCTTAGGTTTATTTATATGCTTTTTAATTTAGAACTAAACACAAATATTTGTCCACATAATAATCAAAATATGTTATAGGAATAATCAAGTTTAATCACTGATAGTTCGCATAGTGCGAAATATTTTAATTTTATTAAATATAATCGGTTTAATTACTTTAACTGTTTTTAATGTTTAATGTTTAATAAACACTGTTTCAATTTAAAACAAAACATTGTTTTCTTAGGAACTCGCAAAGAAGTATGCATCAGATCTATCACTTGATGAACATTTAGTTCTAACTGCGTTGCATGAGCTGCAACTCAGGTCTATGGAAAGAGTAAAGGCCAACGAGGAATTCAAAGACACAGGGCTGGCAACATTCAGGATTAAAGTGACAATACCAAAGGAAAAGCCCAAGATGTTAAAGATACAGAAAACTTTAGATGTGCCGGGTTCTGATCTTTTAAATGCAGTTGCTGCAGAGATTGGTGTTGCAGAATCTAGGTAATCTTAATATCTTCATAATATTACAAATGTAAAACTTTAGATGGAAGGATGTTTGTTAGTATGTATCTCCGGAATAGATAAACGGATTTTAATAAAATTTTGCAAAGATGTAGAAAATACACTGGAAAAATGATTAAGCTTCTAATTATTCATATCAAAGTTTTTAAAAATGATCAAAAGCACCTATCATATAATTTTATAAACATGTATTTGTGTTGTCATAATTTACAATATTTACATAATTACAGGTTAAAACTGATATCTAATGGTAAATTGGTGAAGTCAAACATGACACTAAATGAGCAAAATGTCAAGAATGGCACCCAACTTATGGCACTTGTGTTGGATGGTAAGTAGTTTATAAATAATTTTAATTATAATAAGTGAAATAGGCATTTTTACTTTTTATAATATTAGTAAGATTTAAATATAATTTCCAGCCAGTCCAGATGAGGTGAAGAAAGAAGACAACTTGTACATAGAGATGAAGACAACGAGAGATGATGCCACCATGCTCTCTGAGTATGTCAGCCAGCTGGCCGACTATGATGAGTACATGAAGGTAAGGAATAAAATATACAAGTGTGTGTGTATTATTTTTCAATTATGATTTGTATTATTAAAACTTACTTGTCTAACAATTTTTGTACACAAGTCAAGCTATCTTAAAAAAATGTATAATAAAGGAATCTAAATATTTTGTCAGCTGGAAGACCAGTCCGGTAAGGCGGTGGAGCTGCCCCCGGCGGAGAAGAAGTCCCTGCTGGTGGGGTTGGCGCTGCACGAGCGAGGTCGGGCAGCTATCAAACAGAAGGACTATTCTCTTGCTTTGGTCTTGCTTCTAGAAGCTGATAGGCAGTTCAAGTAAGCTTGGGTCGGCTAACTTAACCTTAAGTCACATGTAAGCTAGAAGATATCTCCACTTATACACGCTTGCTGTAATTTGCAAAAAAAAATGCTTCAGACACCAAAAATTTACAACAAGCGCACACATTTTATGAAGTTTTTCTAATCTCTGACACAATTTGTATACAGGTGAGGGGAACATTATTGAATTTTTCCGTACTATTAATCGGTTTGTGTGCCGGTGTAGCGAGTGCCGGTCCTCGCTGCTGCAGACTGTGGACAACTGGGGCGTGCTGCAGCTGGACATAGCGTGGTGCTACGCGGGGCTGCGCAGCGTGGCCGCCGCGGCGGATGCGGCGCGACGCCTGGCCGCCGCCGAGCGCGCGCTGCGGGACACATACGGCCCCGACCAGCGCCGCCTGCTCGAGCTCAAGGGCAACGCGGGTCAGTGTCACCATCTCTATGTTCCACATCTATACTCTTACATTTGCAATAACTTATTTTGTTACGTCAGCGAACGAGCGCGTGCTGCTGATGCGGCTCTACCTGCTGCAGGGCATCGTCGCCTTCCACCAGAACAGGCGCGCTGACGCCAAGGACCTGCTCGAAAAGGCGGAGGCCGAGCTCAACAATTTGAGGGTATGCTAACTTATCATTTGGGGTGTTTTTTTAGAATCGTGTCTTTTCGATAGGTGTTTATATTTGATGTCTCCAGGTGGACGAGTCTGCGGTGAGCCGGCTGATGGAGCTGGGGTGGTCGCGTGCCCAGGCCCGCGTGGGGCTGCGCGGCGCCTCGGGAGACCCCGACCGCGCCCACCTGCAGCTGGCAGCGCGCGCAGACCAGCGCGAGCAGCATCGCCGGGACAGGTACGCTACACTTGTGGTCCTTCGGGCCGGACTGCACAAACTCTTAAGAATTAAGACGGGGTACAATTTCTTGCTGCACGTTCATTTCGTTTCGCAGACGTCTCCGCCTGCAGCGCACGTGCTCGGACGGGTCGGCGCTGGACGGGGGGCTGGTGCGGCAGCTGGAGGCGCAGGGGTTCGCGCGCCCGCTCGCCGCCATGGCGCTGCGACACAACAACAACGACCTGCAGGCCGCGCTGCGGGACCTCACATCGCTGCGGGAACATCCACAGCTGGTATGCGCTCACCACTACCACTCAAACCCTCGCTACGAAAATTGATCATGACGATGGATCATTCACATCACATGCAATGTATCTATGTTTGTCTCCAGCTGTTCGAGATGCTGGATCAAGTGGTGGACTCCGACTCGGACTCGCCTTCTGAACCGGACAACAAGCTCATTGCAGAGGTACATATACATAACTCAGACATGTGTACGGAGTGACAGGTGTTTGTGTCACACTGTGTGAGTGTTGTGCAGCTGGAGGGGATGGGGTACTCGGGGGAGATGGTCCGGCGCGCGCTGCGAGCCGGACACAACGAGCTGCACGCCGCGCTCGACCTGCTGCTGGCCGGACACGCCGGACGCGCCGGACACGCCGGACACGCAGCCACATCTGGTGAGCAACTCTCACTCTAACACACTCCTGAGTCTACATACAAATAGTAATGCTATCTGTTGTATTGTACAGAGAGTAGGGTGTCCGGGGAGGAGGAGGGAGGCAACCCCTCCACCAGCACCGCGGAGACCTCGCGCACCAAGTTGAAGCAGGAGTGGGAGAGGTGAGTCTCGAGGGCGGGGACTTATACCAATACATTCGGTCAATTTTGTCATTAATTCGTTCGCTGGTGTTTAGGAAGAAGGAGTGCGACCGCGCGCTGGAGCGGCTGTCGTCGGCCATCCGCGGTGATGAAGATGACTACCTCGATACCTCACTCATGGAGGAGGAGCAGTACCTCGCGGAGTACAAGTCCCTCCTCTAGATCTCCTCTTGCACCTGGATTCCACAAAACGTTATATAGAACTTGTAGTAAACAATAGAGTTATGTGCAACACATTCATGGCTTTCTAATGTTTATGTCTCATACTCCTACTCAATCCTCTATAGAGGCTCTTACTTTTTCCCTCTTTCTCCTTTTACAGCTCGACCTTTGTTAAATGAAGAAAATTTCTCATTTTTTATCTGTAGAAATTTTCAAGTAATAGACAATTTTCTAGGAGAAAAGAAGAGCCATCTAGAATATGCTGCTGTTTTATTGTCGTGCGTGTTGTAATAAAATATCGAGTTTAAGAATTTAATTATTCCTTTATTTATAAATGTCATTTAACCGATTGATGTTATAATAATAATAAGTGTCAACACACGAAGCTGGGTTGCCAGCTTGTATTTAATAAGTTTTATCTCATTGAATGAGAACATATTAAAATGTATTTGTGTGCGATAAATGTCTTAGCATAATATTTATGTATTTTTATTTCAATACAATAAAATAAAACATTATTGTAATTCAATATTTCGAGTGAATGTAAAATAATAAATGAATTAAAAAAACACATATTTAAATGGAATAGAGAGATAGCATTCAGTATATTTTTAATAATTTGACATTTTTGGCAGTGGAAGACAACCAATGACATATACTTGTCAAAGATTATAGTTGTCTTTGGCCAACGAAACCCTCCAAAATTAATATTTTCTTTGGCAGTTTTTATGATATGGCAACGATTCCTTCAAAGCCAGTAATTTTTTACTGATTAACCAAAAACTCTAGAAACATGACATCGTTCTTAATATATTCGAACTTGTCCAAGCTGGTGTGCGGTATGAAGATGTACTGCTTTTTCATCTGCACCACGTTCATGTCGAGGTTCTCAGTGGAACGCGTCTTTTCTTCATTCGCTTCGTCGTAGTCGTGGCGGCTGGACGCGGACTTACGGCGGAGCTGCAGTGATTTCACTATATCCATTGCCTACATAATAATTAATATAATTAGTAAATCTACATGTTTGATCATACAAAGACTCGCGAGTGTGACAGTTGACAGAATTCTTGTAACTTACTTGGGACCTGTTAGCGGGCTGGTCTCTGAGGACTAGGCTGATGTTGAGGTCGCAGGGCCACTCGAGCAGCGAGTCATAGGGACCTGCTACCAAACGCACCGTGCAGTTGATATGACGGCCTTTCCATTTGCCGATGCCATTCAAATTTACTTCCGCCTGGAAACATATGTAAATGTAGTCTTCTACATTACATCTTGGATACTAGATATAACAAGATATGTTTGTCATCATATTTCTAAAAGTCCCAATAATTCCAGATGACATCGCACAGATATTTCTTCTGAACACAGACACAGGTTCCAAGAAAAATGTTTTAAGGGTGACATTATACTTTTGGTAAATTACTATCAGAGTACATACTTTGAGAGTATATCCATATTTGCTGGTTCTAAAATGCGGGCTGGTCAGTACTGTATCCTTTTCCTTGGCTTCTTTCATTCGAGAAGTAAAATTGTCTATCCTCCATATAAAATGCCCTGCGATAAAATAAAAAAAACACAATATTAAGTAACTGATTTAAAAAATGGTGTGTATCTGACTAGACGGACCATGTTTAACATGGGACAAACGCTTTCTATGCAGTAAATATTTCTATAACAGAACTAAACTTCATTAATTTTGATACAAGCAGTATTTTACCATCATCGCTGCCAAGTTCTGGATTACTGAAGTTAATCCTGGCCTGGAAGTCAACGATCTCGGTGCGTATCTTGTGGTAGGACTTGGTAAGTGCGCGCAGATCCCGGGAGATGGTGTCCATCCTGCTGGCGTGCTCCGCGGCTTCCGCTCTCGCGTCTGCCGTCGCCACCTCTAGTACTGCAACTCTGTCTAAAGCCTGAAATATATCTTTAAAACATAGGTCTTTCGCGTCTTGACTAACTACAGTAAGTGGATGCTAAAGTTCTACACAATTGCTAAGCGTGAACAACAAATAAAAACAACTGGGGTTTCTCTGGTTTTTTGGATGCCCATGGGTGTTTTTTGACCCCATTTATATCTTGTAAATGTAGATACTGTAATAGTGATGACATTGTTCAGTGATAAGAGAACTTCTGCGAGTTTGCTACCGGTCTCTCATTAGCGGTGGTCTCCAGCTGCGCCCTGAGTGTGGCGAGGTGCGCCAGCTGTTGCGACGTCCGGCGCGCCTCCGCTAGCTCGTCCTCCAGCGCGGCGCGGCTCTCCGCGTTACGTTCCCTATCCTCTTCTATTGTCCGCTTTATGTATTCCATTACTTCTTCTATAAATAAAAAATACATAGTAAAACGATATTATTATCACTGACGCCATTGACGCCGCATCGATTCAAAGGGAACTTTGGCCTCCGATAAACTCACCGTTTTATTGTTATAAATATTTAATTTAAACAAAATTTGAGCCCTTAAAGTTCAGAATCTCAAATATTTTTTATCAACGTCAATATAACATACAAGTTTTACGACCGTGGAAACTAACATCAATTAGTCCTATAGTATAAAAAATGGACGCTACCTAGTCTTCCAATGGCTCGTATCCTGTTGTCGTGCTGCGTCATGGCCTGCTCTAACAGCTCGCGCTCGTTCTGTTCGTGTACGATGCTACTTATCGCGCTTTCCACACGCATCGCAGTGCTCAGCTGCTGGCTCTGCAGCTCCTGTACGTAACAAATATATTTCTAAATTTTAAGGAAATCTATGAATTCAATTGAAGACAGTTACCCCTATTAGACTCAGAGGAGAATGTAATGACAACTTACTAGTTAAAATCATTTAAACTACAAGCAGTTAAAAACGTAAAAATAGGCTCCTAAATCAGATCTGATAAAGGATGGCTTCATACCTGCAAAGCTAGCTGCACGTTTGACAGATCATGTCTGAACTGCGCGGCCCAGTCGGCGGCGCGCGCTGCTTCGGCGTCTACGGCGGCCCGTAGCGTGCCCAGCGCCGACACCACGTGCTGGCCACGCTCCTCCACCAGCACCAGCTTGGTGCGCAGAGTCTCCAACTCCGTGGAGAACACGTCGCGCTGGCTCGACTCCGCACTTAGCACCAATCTGATGGGCAAAGAACTTGTCAATTAGTCCTTTTAAAACAACAAAACTCATTCGCCTCTTCGACATTCATAAAGCATACATACATGTATCTACGACTACGAAAAATGAAAAACACATTGTATGGTATTCGAACCTAGGACTTGCAGATTCCAAGTCAAGTGTTTAACCTCAGAGCCACTGACGCTCTTTTATTGAAAGGACGTTTTCAGTTTAAATATATTTCTTCATTGAACTATAATAGTACTTACTTAATACCAGCCACTTCTTTCTCGAGGTAGGTGACACATTCGTCTAGCGGACTATGTCGTGGCGTCCACGTGTGGTTGCTGACTGGCACGGCGGGCGGGGAGGGCTCCGACACCCGAACGTGTGTCGGGGATGATGAGTTTCGAGCCTACAACATTTATTTGTTTTTTGTGATAATTTATTGGACTAACATTCAAATTAAAAAATATTTACCTTTAGTTCCTGAGACCAAAATCTCAGTATATTATATTAATATTTATTTTATGAATATATGAAGCCATATATTAGTTAAAAATAAGTGACACTAATGTCTTAAAGTTTGTATCTAAAAATTTTGTCATGTCAAAATCTTGACATTCCTGTTAAATATTTAATATATTAAGAACTTGCATAATTGCCGGTTAAAGTTTCTCAGAATTATCGGACATCGGACTTACGAGACGTTTTACATTTTTTGTTATTTTTTTTAAAGAACACCATTAATATTCCTCGCCGAGTTAAAAACAAACGAAAACGCCGCATGGCGACTGACAGACACATTTCATTGCTTTATGACTTTTTAATTATATTTTTGAAATTGCAATATCTGATAAATTCAAAGAAAAGGCTTATTTTAATACATCATAAATCATTTATACTACATTCAATAGATTTATTTAAAGAAATGAGCAAACTGCTTCATATGCAGTAACACTTAGCCTGCATTCAAACGGGTGCTTTTATGCCGTGTTATAACGCGTTCAAATAGCACAAACACATTTCCATGTATCCTACGGTAACGTTCTTAAAACGAGTCACTTTTATCGCGCAGTGTTGCATTTTGTGCACTGGGCGAAGGTAATAAGAGTTATTTTAAAGCGTTCATCACTTAACATCGAGATTTAACATAACGTTAAAAAAGCGTCCGTGCGGCCTTAAGCATGAATACGCCTTTCAAGCCATGATGATACGTCTAATAGACCCACTACAACAAATTCTACCAAATCATTTGTATCCAACCAAAAAACATACCTTCTCCATTTGCGGGCACTCATTGACATGGACCTGCTTATGTTTACGCTGTATCCAGGCGCCGCAGCGCAGCGGGCACTGCTCCAGGATACTGCCGCACTGCTTCAGGTGGTTCTGTACACAGAATAACACACACGATCGTATTTTGATACGCTATCGCTAGCTCTCATCATACTAAGAACAATGTGACATGTTAATCTAGAATTCATAGTTATTATTCTCTAATCGGCACCTAAAATTCTAGTAATATTTGAATATCTCAGCAGTATGTAGGCAGTCATTATCGTCGTATCGTATACTTCGTTATCTTGACAGCGGGAGTATTTTGTGGAATAAATTTATTGATCTTTTTATTCGTGCGATTCGCGTCTCGTCGATTTCGAACGCCCATTCCTTGCTATAGCGATGTGGTCCTTTTGTTGTAATGTCATATTGTTTGGACACGAGCGTATGATTCCAATAACCAAATACAGAGATTGAATAAAGAAAAGAAATATTGTTAAGGAGAATATTTCTTTAGAAACATGATGAATGTGTTCGAAGAAGACGAGATTTAAAAATTTAAAAAGAAAACAGTGTCTTTTATATAGTTTTTATTTATTTTATGTATTATTGAATACACAGAAAAAATAATCAGCCGGTGTCTGTTTCCACACTCCAATTAGTTTTTTCTTTAACTAAAATAGGCACATTACAGGTAGCCTAAGGAACAATTGGGTTATTTTTCTAGACGATCTCATTAAAATAAAACTTTGAAGAACTTATTTCTAGATATATTCTTTAAAAAAAGATATACGAACTGACCTGTAGTTTTCCCATCTCAAACATATCATTGCAGAAGTAGCAGGGACTCTCCTTGCCGATGGTGGCGCCCTCCTGCCGGTCCACCTTCAACTTGTCCAAGCTCATTGTACTAATACCACTAGGAGTAGTGTTAGTAATACTACTAGTAGTGTACCTCACCCCACACCGTTGTTAGTCATTTGCCTAAGAACATTTAGTTAGTTGTTAGTAAACGACTGACACTCAGGATCAGT